TTGGTAAATAAATAAATAATAAAGATATAAATTAATTAAAATAAATAAATAAAATGAATAAATAAATAAATTAATTAATTAAAATGGTAAATAGTGGATGGTGGTGGCTTTTGTAACTCTCTAGGAGCTGCGGCAGCGAAAGAGCAACATCTAAATTAGCGAAAATAGCTGCAGCAGCTGCAGCAGCAGCAGCAGCGGCTGCTGCTGCTGCTGCTGCAGCAGCAGCAACTGGGCCGTCAAGTATAACACTTATCAGTTTTTGGAATTATGATATAAATATGAACAAGGCATAATCAAAGTGAAGAAAGAAAAGGGGAAAAGAGGAAATAATACGGATAAAGCGCTGAAAGCTGAAGCTGAACTCGCTGCTGCTGCTGCTGCTGCTGCAGGGTTTGCTGCTGAGCTGCACACGCGGATGGCGAAAGTGCGGATGAAGTTTCTGGAGTGTACAGACGGCGCGAAGGGCTGCCTCATTTCGGGGTTGGGAATTTCGGAGTCTTTCTTTTATCGAGCGAAAGATACACACGCTCTTTTAGGGTTTGTGTCTTGTGCAGAAATGCCAAACACTTCTTCAGACACTACTTCTCTGCAGCACAGGGAGAAGAAATGAGCCACACCCCACACACGCGGCCCTCCTGCTGCTGCTGCTGCTGCTGCAGCAGCAGAGCTGCTGCTGCAGCAGCAGAGCTGCTGCTGCAGCAGCAGAGCTGCTGCTGCAGCAGCGACAATGCGCGGTTTGCTCCATCAGGCCCCCAATTGCATGCGCGAATATGTATTATATATGTTTAATTTGTGTATATGTATTATATATATTTATATAATATATATATATTTTGTTTATTCTGTTTATGCATATATAATATATATTTGTGCATAAGTGCATAATGTATGAAGCACATCTTTGAAATACAATATACAAAAGGCTCCATATATAATATAGAGAATATTATATATGAACTATATTATATATTATATATTATTATATATCATTATATACATTATATTATATATATATTGTATATACATTATATATATTATATTATATATATAGAATAGAATATAATATATATATATATTATAACATATTGTAATATAATGTAATATATATATTTTATATAATATATAATATAATAAACAAAAGTACAAAATGCACAAAGTCCCCAAAGAAGGCCTTTGCAGGAGTTTGTCTTTTTCGAAAAGACGAATTTTCAAACTTTTCATTTTCCATTTTAATTTAAAATGAAACTAAAATAAAATTAAAGTAAAATCAAAAGTCCATTAAAAGAAACTTCGGGACTTTTTGCCATTTTACCCCTCCAGCTTAGAAAAGTCTTTATTATTGAATCCATTATTTGCTGCTGCATGCATTTCTGCTTTATCTATATGCTTCTGCATGCATTAATCTTTTATAAATGCCATTTAATTTTTTGTTTATTGCTGCCGTTGCTGCTGTTGCTGCTGCTGCTGCTGCTGCTGTTGGTGCGGCTGCTCGCGTTTGCAAGACTGACTCGCGCTGCGTGCAATAGTAGAAGCAGCAGCAGCAGCAACGACAGCAGCAGCAGAACGGGAGGCGTCTATAGAAAAGATATCTCCCGTTTTGCTGCTGCTGCTGCTGCTGCTGCTGCTAATGCGTGCAACCGCCAGAGCAGCTAACAAATACACTGACACCAGACGAATGGTAAAAAATTATAAAATTAATATTTATTTAGAATACTTATTTAGATAATTATTTTTGAATAGTTATTTGAAATAATTATCAAAAATAATTAGTTAAAATAATTATTTGAATGAGGTAATACGAAGTCGCTCAAGTGCTCAGGGGCCGACTGCTGCTGTTAAGAATCTCCTGTTGCAGCTGCTGCTGCAGCTGCTGCAGCTACTGCTGCCTTATCTCCTGCAGCAGCAGCTGCTGCTGCTGCAGCTTCTGCAGCGGCACCTACAGCTGTAGCAGCAGCTGCTGCTACAGCTGTAGGTGCTGCTGCTGCTGCGATTGCTACTACTGCTGCTTCTGCAGCGATTGCTACTGCTGCTGCTGCTGCTGCGACTGCTGCTGCTGCTGCTGCTGCTGCGATTGCTACTGCTGCTGCTGCTGCTGTGATTGCTACTGCTGCTGCTGTTGCTGCGATTGCTACTGCTGCTGCTATGGGTACTCTAGCTGTGGCTCCTGCTATGGGTACTCTAGCTGTGGCTCCTACTGCTGCCATTGCTGTAGTAAGTGCTGCAGCTGCAGCAGCAGCTGCTGCTGCAGCTGCAGCAAATTAGCACGGAAGGAGTGCATCAGAGGATGTTGAGGGTTTAGGGTTTCAGGCGAGGGCGCCTGAAGAACAGTGCCTTAGAGACGCTACAAAGCAGAAAACCCTAAACCCTAAACCCTAAACCCTAGGGGCTACGGCCTGACTGCTTAACAGCTGCGCTCTGCAGCGGAACAATCTCTATCGGAAACCCTAAACCCTAAACCCTAGGGAAGTAGGCAAGAGGAAAATGAGACGGAAAAATATTAATAGCATTTTGTTCGAACTGCTGCACCCCACCTAAACCCTAAACCCTAGGTTTGCCTCGTGCCCAAATGCGGCGCCAAACCCCAAGCCCTAAACCCTAATTCGGGCATTAGGGACTGGGGTTTCGGGTTTGGGCTTCAGTCTGGGCTTCAGGATTTTGGGTTTGGGGTTTTGGGCTTTGGGATGGGGATGCAGGGCTGAGGGCTTGGGGCTCAGGGTTTAGGGTCTGGGACTGCGGGTTGAGGGCCTCGGGGCTAGGGTTTAGGGTTTGGGGTTCAGGGTTTACGGTTTGGGGCTCAGAGTCTGCGGTTTGGGGCTTAGGGTCTAGGGTTTGGGGTTTAGGGTTTAGGGTTTGGGACTCAGAGTCAAGCAACCCCCCCTGGGGAGCCAATCGACGCGCCAAACCCTCGAGACGAGAAACTCCCTCATCAGCCCCGAAAGCCTGAGCAGCAGCAGCAGGAGCAGCAGCAGCAGCAGCGGGAGCAGCAGCAGCGGTAGCAGCAGCAGCAGCGGGAGCAGCAGCCAAAGCAGCGGGACCAGCAAAGGGGATAGCAGCAGCAGCAGCAGAAACAGCAGCAGTGGCGTCGGTAGCAGCAGCGCAGCAGCAGCAGCAGCACAGCAGCAGCAGCGACACAGGACCAGCAGCAGGAGACCCTAAGTAAAGGGACTAAGCCTAAACCCTAAACCCTAGGTAAAGAGACCGCCATCAAAAGAAACAAACAAACAAATAAATAAATAAAAATAAATAAAACAAACAAACAAACAAATAAATAAATAAAAATAATAAAACGAATAAATAAATAATAAACTGATTTAAATCCTAAATGAGTTTTCTGATTGAGAAGAAAGAAATTTAATTTGTCCCTCAAAGCCAAACTTCCAGTGAACGAAACAAACCCTAAACCCTAAACCTTTAGACGCACACCCTAAGCGCTAAACCCTAAACCCCAAACCCTCAAGCCTAAACCCTAAAGCGAGAAGAAATGGGAAACATTAATAACGCGCAGGCAGCTCCCGTAGTCTCCATCAAATGGTAAATCCTAGCCCTAAACCCTAAACCCCAAACGCTAAACCCCAGACCCTAAACCCTAAACCCTAAATCCTAAATGAACTTACCCGTAGCAGCGCAGCGGCGACTTTCAAAAAAGATAAAACATAAGCAGCATCAAAGAAGGACAGGTCCTGGGTGGCCCAGCGGATGACGTAGGTCTGCGCAAACCCTAGATCCTAAACCCTAAACCCTAAACCCTAAACCCTAAATTCTGAATATAACGCCTGACACTGGTCTTCTGGGTTGCCCAGCAGATGGCCTAAGTCCGTGAAAACTGGATTGCAAACTTTCAGGCATGGTCAAATCCCAAACGCCAAACCCCAAACCCTAAACCCTAAACCCTAAACCCTAAATTCTAATGCTTGCCTGTAGGTGGTGCACAAGCTGGGGGTCTACGACTGTTTGTTCGAACACCTCGTTCCAGTACGCCGTCTGCCCACAACCCCCAAACCCTAATCCCTAAACCCTAGGCCCCAACCCCAAACCCTAAACCCTAAACCCTATACCCTAAACCCTAAACCCTAGACAACCCCAAACCCTCCGCCAACCGCACACAACCCCGTGCTCCCTGCGCGCCGCGCGCATCCCCACCCCACCCCACCCACACCCCAACCCCCAAACCCTAAACCCTAAACCCTAAATCCTAAACCCTACGATGAGGTGCGTAATGCCCTCCAAGTCAATGATGTCTCTGTCTCCGTCGAGGGCCCCCCCAGGCCAAACATGTGCTGCAGGAAGTTTGCAAAGAGAGACCCAGTGGGGCCCCAGGAAAGAAAGCATATGATTATGGATTTGCTGCTGCAGCGCAGCAGCAGCAACTTTGCTGCCTTCTACGAAAACCTCCAGAGCAGCGCCTGCTGCTGCTGCTCCCGCTGCAGCGCCTGCTGCAGCAAACCCTCCGCAGCCCCCCACCAACGCGTTCCAGTCCGCCTGCACACAAACCCGAATCCCTAAACCCTAAACCCTAAACCCTGAACCCTAAACCCTCGTCCTGGTTCTTCCGCGCCGAAGCTGCCTCTTCCCAGCTCCACACAAAGCCTAAACCCCAAACCCTAAACCCTAGACCTGGTTGTTCACCGCAAAAGCGATATTTGCGCAGCTACCGGAGCGTCCCTCGAGGGTTTAGGGTTTAGGGTTTGGGGTTTGCGGGCGCGGGACGTGGCCCCGCCGGCGCGCGCGGGCCGGGGCGTGCAGGGCCTAGGGTTTAGGGTTTAGGGTTTGGGGTTTGCCTTGAGCTCGGGGGGCATCCTGCGGAGGTTTAGGACCTGGGCCTTGATGAGGGTTTGGGGGGTTTGCTGCTCCTCTAAACCCCCGACAATCCAACTTTTTAACTCTATTTTTGCGTCAGGGTTGTAAACCCTAAAAAACCTCTCGGGGCCAATTCGGTAACTCAGCAGCAAACAGTAGTGCGGCAGACAAAGCCCCCGAAACGCCTTCGACCCTTGCAGCGAGCCTGCAAACCCTAAACCCTAAACCCTAAACCCTAAACCCTCAACCCTGGGCGCTGACCGCTGGGCGCTGAGCGCTGTGGGGATTGAGCGGCAACACACACAGACAGCTGTCTGCGCACAACATCCAAACCCTAAACCCTAAACCCTAAACCCTACTCGTCAAATCCAGTGTGCAAGTTTGTGAGACGTCACGTACATACATAAACATACACCCTAAACCCTAAACCCTAAACCCGAAATACGAGGAGACACAAGAGAGCAGTACAACGTTATGTATACGCACATACACGCATGTATACCTTAAATCCGAACCCCAAACCCTAAACCCTAAACCCTAAACCCTAAACCCTAAACCCTAAACCCTCGGCGCACAGAAGAAGGCCCTGGGGGAGGTGAGCGCGATTTGCCTGCGTTTGAAAGGCGGGCGTTTTTCCGTTTTATAAATTTCACAAAAGTTGGCAAGACATTCATCATAGAACTTATTATTGAAACTGCTGCTGCTGCTGCTGCTGCTGCTGCTGCTGGCGGTGATGCTGCTTGTGTCGGCGATGCTGGTGCTGAGGGTGGACCTGCGCTGCTGCTGCTGCTGCTGCTGCTGCTGCTCTGTCTCCTTTTGCTGCAGATAAGAGACAAGGGGCTGCAGCACATCGACCCCCAACTTCGCCACTTCTGCTGCTTCACTAAAAGATAATGGAATTGAATTAAATAAATTATTTGAAAAAGAAAAAAATGAAAACTGCGACAAAAAATGCGGAGGCAACGCCCGCGCCTCCTCCAGCTGTACGTACAGACACCCCACACGCAGCAGTACAGATACTCCAAATTCTTTTTTTCTTCTTTTCTTTTTCTTTATTTTCTTTATTTTCTTCTTCCTTTTGTCTTCCTTTTCCTTTTCTTTCTTTTCCTTCCTTTGTTTCAACTTTTCATTTTTTGTTTTTTTCTTTTCCGATTTCTTTTGACTCCATTTACTTCCTTTAGGAGACAAAAATAGATAAATTTAGAAAAGATAAAAAGACGAAAATAAATAAAACACAAATGAAATATTTAAAAACAAAAAAATTAAGAATATTAAAAGGATACAAAAAATAAAAAAATAAAAGGAGACGAAAAACCCGCGATAGAGGCGCAGCCCAAGACCGTATCGCAGGCAATGAGGGTTTAGGGTTTAGGGTTTAGCTATTTTTGCTCAGGGTTTTTGTGGTTTGTGGTTTTGGGTTTCGTGTTTTGTCGTCTCCAGTGTGTGCTGCTTAGTTCCTAGGGTTTAGGGTTTAGGGTTTAGGGTTTACAAACAGCAGCGGAGGGTTTGCGGGGTCCAGCACGTGAAACAGAAGAGTCCCTTCGTTCAAGTTCTCCAGACTCCCGAAGACTTTGAGGCCTTTCTTCGAGTGCACGCCGAGGCGCCTGCAGCCGCCCATTCCGGGCTGGTCCCAAACGAACAGCAGGTGGCTGAAAGAGGCACAAACGAAACACTTTTCGAGGGTTTACACGAGGGTTTAGAGAGGGTTTTGATTAGGGTTTAAGTGGAGTTTTAAATGGGGAAAAAAAGAGACAAAATTGACACAAAATGGAGGATTTAAGGAGACAAAAAGAGAGATAGCCCCCCATCCCGGGCTGGTCCCAAACGAACAGCAAGTGGCTGAAAAAGGGGACAAACATAACACTTTTCGAGGGTTTAGATGAGGGTTTAGAAAGAGTTTTGATGAGGGTTTAGAGCGGGGTTTATTCGGGGTTTAAATGGGAGAAAAACGAGACAAAATGGACACAAAATGGACACAAAATGGAGGTTTTAAGGAGACAAAAATAGAGATAGCCCGATCCCGGGCTGGTCCCAAACGAACAGCAAGTGGCCGAAAAAGGGGACAAAAGAAAGATAAAAAAGAGACAATTCGAGGGTTTAGATGAGGGTTTAGAAAGGGTTTAGATGAGGGTTCAGAAAGGGTTTTGATGAGGGTTTGTGAGGGGGTTTAAAGGGGACAAAAAGAAGCTTTGAAGGAGACAAAAAGAGACACAAACGCCAGCAGCCCCCGATGCCGGGTTGGTTTTATACGAACAGCAAATGGCGAAAAAAAGAGGCAAAAAAAATAATTAAAGAGACAAAAAAAAAATAAAAAAGGAGACAAAAAAGAGACAAAAAGAGACAATTGGAGGGTTTAAATGAGGGTTTGGAAAGGGTTTAGAAAGGGTTTTGATGGAGGGTTTAGGCGGTTTATGAGGGGTTTAAAGTGGGACAAAAAGGAGACAAAAAGCAGACAAAATGGAGGCAAAATGGATATTTGAAGGAGACAAAAAGGAGACAAAAGGGAGACAAAAAAGGAGACAAAAGAGGGGACTAAAAGAGACAAAAAGAGGGTTTAAAAAGCGTTTTAAAAGGGTTTTTAAAGGGTTTTAAAAGGGTTTTAAACGGGTTTAAAAGAGGGTTTAGAAGGGGTTTTCAAAGGGTTTTAAAGAGGGTTTAGAAGGGGTTTCAAAAGGGTTTAAAAAGGGTTTTAAAGAGGGTTTAGAAGGGGTTTCAAAAGGGTTTAAGAAGGGTTTTAAAGAGGGTTTAGAAGGGGTTTCAAAAGGGTTTAAAAAGGGTTTAAAAGAGGATTTAGAAGGGGTTTCAAAAGAGTTTAAAAAGGGTTTAAAAGAGGGTGTAGAAGGGATTTCAAAAGGGTTTAAAAAGGGTTTAAAAGAGGGTTTAGAAGGGATTTCAAAAGGGTTAAAAAAGGGTTTAAAAGAGGATTTAGAAGGAGTTTAAAAGGGTTTTAAGAAGGCTTCAAAAGGGTTTAAAGGAGGGTTTAAAAGGGTTTAGGAGGAGGTTTGAAGGAGACAAAAAGGAGACAAAAAGGAACATGAAAGGAAACAACTAAATTTAAAAAAAATATTTGAAAAAGTTAAAAGGAGACAATTAGATAAAAAAGCGACAATAAAAGTAATGCTTTTGTTGTTGGCTAACTAAATAAGTACAAGAGGGAAAAAGATAATAAAAAGGGACAATTAAATCAATTACAAGGAGACAACTAAATCAATTAAAAGGAGACAATTAAATCAGTTAGAAGGAGACAATTAAATAAATTAAAAAGGGCAGTTGAATAATACAAAGGGGACAATTAAATAAGTAAAAGGGGACAATTAAGGGAGTAAAAGGGGACAATTAAATCAACTGAAGGAGACAATATGAGTAAAAATAAATGAAAAATGCCCGTGTTGTTGGCCAACTGAATAAGTAGAAAAGGAGACAGTTAAGACGGCAAAAAGGAGATAGTTAAATAAGCGAAAATGAGACAAATAAATCAAACAATTAATTCAATTAAAAGAGACAATTTAAATAAAATGAAATAAAATACCCTTGTTGTTGGCTAACTAAATAAGTACAAGAGCCTCCAGTGCCCAGCAAAAAGCCCTGGCTTTGACAGCCAAATTCGGAGCAGCAAAGAGGGGGAATTTCCTCGCTTGGCAGCTGCAGCAGCAGCAGCAGCAGCAGCAGCACAGCAGCAGCAGCACAGCAGAAGCAGCAATGGTAAACCCTAAAGCTCAAGCCCCACCCGCAAACCCCCCCGCAGAGGCGAAAGCCTCCGCCGCGGCGGCGAAGCCTAAACCCTAAACCCTAAACCCTAAAAGGGGGTTTCGGACCTCGACCCAGAGTCCCTCCTCGAGGTTGAGCTTGTGTTGGGTGTCGAGGAATAGAGAAAAAGGAGACAAATTAACCAGACGAATCAGCAGAGAGCGATGGGCCCTTCGGAGTCTCTTTTTCCACTCCACATTTCTCACATTGAAGCAAAAGTGCAAAGGGACAAAAGGGTTTAAAGTGCAGAAGTCGTAAAACCACAGAGACAACGCGGACCCCGGGTATTTTTCGAGCGACAAGTGCAGCTCTTCGCGGCATTCTGCGGAACAAACAAATGCGTTTATTTATTCATTCATTTCTTTATTTATTTCCTTCTTTATTTCTCTTTTTTCGCCTTTTTTGGATCTGTTTTGGTAGAGAAATCGCAAAAAGCGCAAAAGGGTTTTAACTGCAAAAGCCCCAAAACCACACTACACAGAAGCGGGGTATACGTGCAGGTCTTCTCGGGATTCTGTGGAGAAACAGAAATGTAATTGATTATTATTTATTTATTTATTTATTTATTTGTTTGTTTGTTTGTTTGTTTATTTCTTTATTTATTATTTAATTCATTTTTTCCGCTTTTTTTGGATTTATTTTGGTGAAGAAATGATAAAAAAGGATAAGTGTTTGGAGTGCAAAAGTCAAAAAGCACAAAAATAAAACAAAGCCACTTATATTTATTCGTTTATTTATTTATTTATTTTGATATTATTGAGCAAAGAAATGAAGAAAAGGAATAAAGGATTTGAAGTCAAAACGGGGCAGAGCCAGAGACTCATTTTTGCAGCAACTCGCAGCTTTTTTTTATTTTTTTCCTTTTCTTGTTCTTTTTTGTCCTTTTTTCTTCTTTTCTTTTCTCCTTATTCTTCTTCAACTCTTTTTATTCTCATTTCTCTTTTTATTTCCAACTTTTTCCGCTTTTTTTCCAATTTTTTCCACTATTTGCGTTTTTTGTCTGTTTCCATTTTTTTGGGCTTTTTTATAGGCTTGGGGGACAAACAGAAACACTTTTATTTGTCTCCTTTTTTATTATTATTTAATTTATTTAATCTAATTAATTAATTTATTTTATTTAATTATTTTAATTAATTTATTTGATATACTTATTTATTTGTTCAATTATTTAATTTATTTATTTGTTTATTATTGTTTGTTATTTACTTGTTTAGTTTGCTCCTTCTGCCGCGAGGCAGAAGATAAAGAAACAAATGAAAAAGTGAAATAAATAAATGAATTAATAAAATAAATAAATAAATAAATAAAATAAATAAATAGATAATAATAATAATGATAATTAAAGATAAATAAATTTAAAAAGAATAGAAATGATCAATTGTAGTGCATGTGGCATAGGGCGTAAACAAGGACACACAGCCAAAGACGCAAGGAGACATTAACCCCAAACCCTAAACCCTAAACCCTAAACCCTAAACCCTAAACCCTAAACCCTTGATTTTAAAAAATCCTGAAGGCTTAGGGATTTACTCTTCAGATAGGCAGTCCCCTCTGGCGTCTCTCTCACAGTGACGACGAACTGCACACAAAGGCATGTAAACCCTAAACCCTAAACCATAAACCCTAAACCCTAAACCCTAAACCCTAAACCCAAAATCCTAAACCCTAAACCCACAGATTTTCTCTCTATAGTGTTGCCATTGAGGCAGGAAGGAGGCAAAAGGGTAAGAGGCCAAAGAGACCCCAAACCCTAAACCCTCAAGGCCAGAAACAAGCTAAACATGCAGCGCCGCGCCTTTCCACAAACCCTAAACCCTAAACCCTAAACCCTAAACCCTAGACATACGTTGCTGAAGACGGAAGCGTCGGCAGAAAAGGATAAATCAAACAGAGTCTTCGCTTCAGGTAAACCCTGGGCGCGAGAATCCACGTTGCAGCCCATTGCGCTCACGTGCCTGCCACGCAAACCCTAAACCTTAAACCCTAAACCCTAAACCCTAAACCCTAAATCCTAAACTGTGGAGCCTGAACGGGTAGTGCGAAGTCGGCGCAGGTGGGACTCATGCACGAGGAACTGGGGTACATGCTGCTACGCAGCGCCCGTAAACCCTAAACCCTAAACCCTAAGCCCTAAACCCTAAACCCTAAACCCTGAACCCTCGTACTTGTTCTCGCCGAGCACAGGGATTTCGAACTCTGAGCATATGATGTACTCAATCCCCGCCAAGACAACCGCGTATTGAATCTGCAAAAGGAAACTAACAAACAGCAATTGCTGCTGCTGCTGCTGCTGCTGTTGCTGC